TAGACTATAGACTAGACTATAGACTAGACTATAGACTAGACTATAGACTAGACTATAGACTAGACTATAGACTAGACTATAGACTAGACTATAGACTAGACTATAGACTAGACTATAGACTAGACTATAGACTAGACTATAGACTAGACTATAGACTAGACTATAGACTAGACTATAGACTAGACTATAGACTAGACTATAGACTAGACTATAGACTAGACTATAGACTAGACTATAGACTAGACTATAGACTAGACTATAGACTAGACTAGACTAGACTATAGACTAGACTATAGACTAGACTATAGACTAGACTATAGACTAGACTATAGACTAGACTATAGACTAGACTATAGACTAGACTATAGACTAGACTATAGACTAGACTATAGACTAGACTATAGACTAGACTATAGACTAGACTATAGACTAGACTATAGACTAGACTATAGACTAGACTATAGACTAGACTATAGACTAGACTATAGACTAGACTATAGACTAGACTATAGACTAGACTATAGACTAGACTATAGACTAGACTATAGACTAGACTATAGACTAGACTATAGACTAGACTATAGACTAGACTATAGACTAGACTATAGACTAGACTATAGACTAGACTATAGACTAGACTATAGACTAGACTATAGACTAGACTATAGACTAGACTATAGACTAGACTATAGACTAGACTATAGACTAGACTATAGACTAGACTATAGACTAGACTATAGACTAGACTATAGACTAGACTATAGACTAGACTATAGACTAGACTATAGACTAGACTATAGACTAGACTATAGACTAGACTATAGACTAGACTATAGACTAGACTATAGACTAGACTATAGACTAGACTATAGACTAGACTATAGACTAGACTATAGACTAGACTATAGACTAGACTATAGACTAGACTATAGACTAGACTATAGACTAGACTATAGACTAGACTATAGACTAGACTATAGACTAGACTATAGACTAGACTATAGACTAGACTATAGACTAGACTATAGACTAGACTATAGACTAGACTATAGACTAGACTATAGACTAGACTATAGACTAGACTATAGACTAGACTATGCTAGACTATAGACTAGACTATAGACTAACTATAGACAGACTATAGACTAGACTAAGACTAGACTATAGACGACTATAGACTTATAGACTAGACTATATGCTAGACTAGATAGACTAAGACTAGATATGACTAGACTTAGACTAGATATAGACTAGACTATAGACTAGACTTAGACTAGACTATAGACTGACTATAGACTAGACTATAGACTAGACTAGACTAGACTATAGACTAGACTATGACTAGACTATAGACTAGACTATATAGACTATATACTAGACTATAGACTAGACTATATACTAGACTATAGACTTAGAAAATAGACTAGACTATAGCCTAGACTATAGAACTAGACTATAGACTAGACTATAGACTAGAACTATAGACTAGACTATAGACTAGACTATAGACTAGACTATAGACTAGACTATAGACTAGACTATAGACTAGACTATAGACTAGACTATAGACTAGACTATAGACTAGACTATAGACTAGACTATAGACTAGACTATAGACTAGGACTATAGACTAACTATAGACTAGACTATAGACTAGACTATAGGACATAGACTATAGACTAGCCTATAGACTAGACTATAGACTAGACTATAGACTAGACTATAGACTAGACTATAGACTATAGACTAGACTATAGACTAGACTATAGACTAACTATAGACTAGACTATAGACTAGACTATAGACTAGACTATAGACTAGACCTATAGACTAGACATAATAGACTATAGACTAGACTATAGACTAAGACTATAGACTAGACTATAGACTAGACTTAGACTAGACTAGACTAGCTATAGACTAGACTATAGACTAGACTATAGACTAGACTATAGAGTAGACTATAGACTAGACTATAGACTAGACTATAGACTAGACTATAGACTAGACTATAGACTAGACTATAGACTAACTATAGACTAGACTAAGACTAGACTATAGACTAGACTATAGACTAGACTATAGACTAGACTATAGACTAACTATAGACTAGACTATAGACTAGACTATAGACTAGACTATAGACTAGGACTATAGACTAGACTATAGACTAGACTATAGACTAGACTATAGACTGACTATAGACTAGACTATAGACTAGACTATGACTAGCTATAGACTAGACTATAACTAGACGATAGACTAGACTATAGACTAGACTATAGACTAGACCATAGACTAGACTATAGACTAGACTATAATTAGACTATAGACTAGACTATAGATTAGACTATAGACTAGACATACACTATACTATAGACTAGACTGACTATAGACTAATATAGACTAGACTAGACTTATAGACTATAGACTAGATTATAGACTATAGACTAGACTAGACTAGACTAGACTAGACTAGACTAGACTAGACTAGACTAGATTAGACTAGACTATAGACTAGACTAGACTATAGACTAGACTAGACTAGACTAGACTAGACTAGACTAGACTAGACTAGACTAGACTAGACTAGACTAGACTAGACTAGACTAGACTAGACTAGACTAGACTAGACTAGACTAGACTAGACTAGACTAGACTAGACTAGACTAGACTAGACTAGACTAGACTAGACTAGACTATAGACTATAGACTATAGAATACAGACTATAGACTAGACTATAGACTAGACTATAGACTAGACTATAGAGTAGACTATAGACTAGACTATAGACTAGACTATAGACTAGACTATAGAGTAGACTATAGAGTAGACTATAGACTAGACTATAGACTAGACTATTAGACTAGACTATAGACTAGACTATAGACTAGACTAATAGACTAGACTATAGACTAGACTATAGACTAGACTATAGACTAGACTATAGACTAGACTATAGACCTAGACTATAGACTAGACTATAGACTAGACTATAGACTAGACTATAGACTAGACTATAGACTAGACTATAGACTAGACTATAGACTAGACCATAGACTAGACTATAGACTAGACTATAGATTAGACTATAGACTAGACTATAGATTAGACTATAGACTAGACTATACACTATACTATAGACTAGACTTGACTATAGACTAGACTATAGACTAGACTAGACTAGACTAGACTAGACTAGACTATAGACTATAGACTAGACTAGACTAGACTAGACTAGACTAGACTAGACTAGACTATAGACTAGACTAGACTAGACTAGACTAGACTAGACTATAGACTAGACTAGATTATAGACTAGATTATAGACTATAGACTAGACTAGACTAGACTAGATTAGACTAGACTATAGACTAGACTAGACTAGACTAGACTAGACTAGACTAGACTAGACTAGACTATAGACTAGACTAGACTAGACTAGACTAGACTAGACTAGACTAGACTAGACTAGACTAGACTAGACTAGACTATAGACTATAGAATACAGACTATAGACTAGACTAGACTATAGACTATACTAGACTATATACTAGACTATATACTAGACTATAGACTAGACTAGACTATAGACTAGACTATAGACTAGACTAGACTATAGACTAGACTAGACTATAGACTAGACTAGACTAGACTATAGACTAGACTAGACTATAGACTAGACTAGACTATAGACTAGACTAGACTATAGACTAGACTAGACTAGACTATAGACTAGACTAGACTATAGACTAGACTATAGACTAGACTAGACTATAGACTAGACTATAGACTAGACTAGACTATAGACTAGACTATAGACTAGACTATAGACTAGACTATAGACTAGACTATAGACTAGACTATAGACTATACTAGAATATAGACTAGACTAGACTAGACTATAGACTAGACTATAGACTAGACTATAGACTAGACTATAGACTATACTAGAATATAGACTAGACTATAGACTATAATTGTATAAAAGTTATAACGGTAGTGTCAAATATATCATCGGCCTTTCCTTGGAATAAGTTGATCTGGGGTCGAACCTGAGTATCTGCCTTATCTGCTAGAACGCAGGACAGATTTAAGACGTTGTCTTGTCCCGTTTATAGGGGATGTCCCTTCGTTTAAATATATGGGGGATAGTGGTAAGTGAAATCTGAAAGCAGTTTTGTAAACCTTACCAGCCTATCCAAATTTGGGCTTAATGGGATAGTTGAAAGCAATTCCCAAATTTTGGAGTTTTTTGAAAGAAAATATTAAACTGTTTTCTGAAGAACATCCTTAGGGGGATTGAATTTAAAGAAAGGAATCGTTCAAATTTAACATATATCGATATTTAAAGTAGTTTTCCGAAAGTCCTATGTATAGGGTCTTGGTGAAATAATGGAACGATTTTTACTATTTTCGGTAGGCTTTGTTCTTGAAGTATATAAAACGATTAGCAAATGTTTTAACAATGTTGTTGGATGCTAAAGTATCGTATAATTATCCTTGGAATATAGAAATTTATAAAGTTAATTCAACCCATTAAAGTCTGTAAAATTTAAATAGATTCACATTAATGATGATTTTTTATGAATTTTAATAATATATATACCTACCACCCAAACTATACAAATTCTATGACGTATAGAATTCCATTAGATAAACAGATCAAATCAATTCAAATTAACCTTGAAATCGAAACAAAAACATGAATAAATTTATATGATTTTTTTTTGTTAACAAATTGTTGTGATATGGTTTGATGATACGGCTTTGGTCATGGTAGCAACTGGTAATAATGATATATTTCCTTTAGATAAAAACAGCTTTTGGCTGTTAACAAGGCTATAATCGATAAAACATCAAAACAAATATTTAACTAATAATTTACCTATTTGTTTACATTTCAAAAAACAACAAATTGATATAAAAACTTGTTATTTTAAAAATCTTCTATAAACATATTAAATAATAAAAAAATGCAATATTTAGTTAGGTTTTTAATTAAATATTTAATTTATTTTCTATTAAAATCGGCTTATAAATTTGTCTAGGCTAAAGAAAACTAAACTTAATAACTAGAAAATTAGAAAATAATCACATAATGGCAGTACTTTTCATAAACCAAAAAAATAAAATTTTAGAAAACAAAATTACAAAAAAAAGTAAATAAATTCAACAACAATTTTTTTCAACAGAAAAATAAAACAAAGAAAACAATTTTAACAAACAAAATCACAATATATTAACACTACACAATATGTAGCTTAGAATCTGGGTCGTTTTGTGGTTGTGGTTAGTTTGGGTCCTTCAAAATTATAAGCTACAATAGTTTTAGTTTTATTTAAAGTGCTATTTTTAAAATCCTGATAGAGTGAGGATTGCGAAAAATTTTGTAGTTTTGTAGCTGAAAATGTAGGACGTTTTGTAGTTGTTATGCTGCCTTGTAGTTGTTTAAATTGTTCATTAACTTTAGCAAAGAATGGATGACTAAATGGATCATTTTTGTATTTGTTGTAATCGGTATTATCTTGAGATTTTGTTGTTAAAGGTTTTCGTGTAGTTGTTGTTGTGGTGGTAGTGGATCGTGGTCTAAGAGTTGTGGTTTTGAGGTTGTTTGTAGTGTAGTATGGCCGTGTTGTTTGTGGTTTTATGGTCGAAGTTTTGTAGTTTTCTAAACGTATTGGTTTTGTTGTTCTGGCTGTGGTTGGTTTTGTGGTGGTAGTTTTTGTAGTTCTGGCTGTGGTTGGTTTTGTAGTGGTGGCTTTCGTTGTAGTTTTTCTTGTGGTTGTGGTAACGGCAGTGGGTTTTTTGGTGGTACTTTTATTTGTGGTTTTATCCCATTTTCGCCAGTTTTCTGTGGTGGTTTTAGGTTTAAGAGTTGTGGATTTCTGTTCATTCCTCCAATTCCAAGTGGTTCTATCGGGTTTAACAGTTGTAGTTCTGGTAGTTTGCTTTTGAACTATATTCCAATTTGTGGTGGCTTGACTTAATGTATTATTATTATTGGTATATTTTTGATTTTGCCAACTCCAAGTGGTGGTAGTTCTAGCTGGTTTAGCAGTGGTGGAGCTTACGAACTTCTGATTCTGCCAACTCCAGGTTGTTGAAGTTTTCGGTACTTTAGTGGTAGATTTCTGGTTTTGCCAACTCCAAGTAGTTGCAGTTTTAGGTGATTTTGTAGTCCATGATGTGGTGATAGGTTTTTTAGCGGTTGTTATAGTCGTCGGTCTTCTAGTGGTAGTTGTAGTTCTTGGGGCAGTGGTTTTGTTAGTTGTAGTTTTTCGTGTAGTTGTTGTAGTCGGTTTTGTAGTGCTATAACTAAACCATGAAGTTGTTGGTTTCTTAGTAGTTGTGGTTTTTCTTGTAGTTGTTGTTACAGGTTTTCTAGTTGTTGTAGTTTTTATTGTACTGTAACTATTCCATGATGTGGTCGGTTTCTTGGTTGTGGTAGAGGGTTCTGGAGCTGTAGTTTTGGGCTTAACAGTGGTGGTAGTTCTAAAGTCATTGCTATTTAAATAGTTTTTGGTAATCTCAGTTTTATAGGCCGGTGTTGTCTGTAAAAATGGATTATTATGCACAGAGGACTGTGTAGGTTTGGCTGTGGTAGACAATTTAAGGCTACCGCTAAGGAAGGGATTAGTTTTGAAAGAATCCAATTCATTTATTAATTCAACAGGTTTCGTTATAAAATTATTGCTGCTTGAGCTACTAAAGGCTCCGCTGAGGAAAGGATTATCCTTATAATTAGGTTTTGCTGTTACCTCCAATTGTTGGTTAGTGAAACTAGAAGCAATTACCGCTTTATGTACTTCACTTCCGCTGGATACTTTAATGTTTTGTAAAAATGGATTACTAGCATAGTTTGGCACATTATTATCAGGGAATTGGAAATTTTGGTTGCTTGCCGGTTTTCGAGTAGTTGGCAATGCTTGAGTTTTAACAGCTCCACTCAAAAATGGATTATGACTATATGATGTTGCTGCTGGTGATGACTGAATTTTATTAGGTTTGTTAGTAAATGTCGGTTTCTTGTCGAACTCCTCTATTTGATTGGGTGTAAAGCATGAACGAATCTCTTCCATTTTACGATTGCGACAATGTGGTTTATACACTGTCCAAGCATTAAAACCATCTCCTGAGATTCGGGTATGTTCTTCATGTATAATTTTAATACATTTTACATCATCTGTTATATCCGAATCTAATAGTTTATCGCAGGGTATATTACACGCTTTACCGCCATATTGATCATGCGAACACCAATAGAGATCGCTAATTTGAAAGAGACCATGATCCAGGGAGCCATCTGCATTAAGGCGACCAACAGCGGCCGTATTAAATGAGGACTCATGTTGAGCTATACAAACCCAAGTGGGTATTTGTTCCATGGGCATTTTGTGTTTACTTAAAAGCTCTTGCGCCAATTCACATTTCTTATAAATTTTACCTTTTCCCACGTTCTTTGTTGCCGGTGTATATGGGGTATCTATGGAGTTGGTACTAGGTATATTGGCTTCTTTGAGTTCTTTTTCGGTAAAACAGTCTTTGATGTGACTCATACCCGTGTTACGACAATGTGGCTTATACACAGTCCAGGCGTTGAAACCATCACCTGATATTCTAGTATGTTCCTCATGTATAATCTTAATACAGCGAACATCATCTGTTATGTCAGAGTCGAGTAGTTTATCACAGGGTATATTACAAGCTTTACCTCCATACTGATCGTGAGTACACCAATATAGATCACTTATTTGGAAGAGACCATGATCTGCCGAACCATCGGTATTTAGACGACCAACAGCAGCTGTGTTATATGAGGACTCATGTTGAGCTATACACACCCATTTGGGTATTTGTTCCATGGGCATACGATGTTTGTGATACAATTCCTGAGCCAGCTCACATTTCTTATAAATTTTACCTTTAGGAATAGGTTTTGAGCTAAACGAACTTTGAGGAATTAAGGCATTGGTGGTTACTGTTGTCTGTACACTACTAAGTTCTTTATCTGTAAAACATTCCTTAACGTGACTTATAGCAATATTACGACAATGAGGTTTATATACAGTCCAGGCATTAAAACCATCCCCAGAGATCCTGGTATGCTCCTCATGTATAATCTTAATACATCTAACATCGTCAGTTATATCGGAGTCCAACAGTTTATCACATGGTATATTACAAGCTTTACCTCCATATTGATCATGAGAACACCAATAAAGATCGCTTATTTGGAAGAGACCATGATCAGCTGAACCATCGGTATTTAGACGACCAACTGCAGCAGTATTGTAAGACGACTCATATTGAGCTATACACACCCATTTGGGTATTTGATCCATGGGCATGCGATGTTTGTGGTACAATTCCTGAGCCAACTCACATTTCTTATAAATTTTACCTTTTGGAGCAGGTTTTGAACCAAACGAACTTTGAGGAATTAAGGCATTGGTGGTTACTGATGTCTGTACACTATTTAGTTCTTTATCTGTAAAACATTCCTTTACATGACTTATAGCGATATTACGACAATGAGGTTTATACACAGTCCAGGCATTAAAACCATCCCCAGAGATTCTAGTATGCTCCTCATGTATAATTTTAATACATCTAACATCGTCAGTTATATCGGAGTCCAACAGTTTATCACAGGGTATATTACAAGCCTTACCCCCATATTGATCATGGGAACACCAATAAATATCACTTATTTGGAAGAGACCATGATCAGCCGAGCCATCCGTATTAAGACGACCTACAGCAGCAGTATTGTAAGACGACTCATGTTGAGCTATACACACCCATTTGGGAATTTGATCCATGGGCATGCGATGCTTATGATATAATTCCTGAGCCAATTCACACTTCTTGTAAATTTTACCTTTTGCTGCCGGCTTTGATCCCCCAGAACTTTGAGGCACTAAAGAATTTGTATTATATGAAGGCACTTTGCTGGAAACCTTTTTCAGTTCCTGTTCCGTAAAACATTGTTTTATATGATCCATACCTATATTACGACAGTGTGGTTGATATACCGTCCAAGCGTTAAAACCATCTCCCGATATTCTCGTATGCTCCTCATGTATTATCTTAATACATCTAACATCATCTGTAATATCAGAATCTAAGAGTTTATGACAGGGTATATTGCAAGCTTTACCACCATATTGATCATGTGAACACCAATAAAGATCACTTATTTGAAAGAGGCCATGATCGGCAGAACCATCTGTGTTGAGACGACCAACAGCCGCTGTGTTGTAAGACGATTCATGTTGAGCGATACAAACCCATTTGGGTATTTGTTCCATGGGCATTTGATGTTTATGATATAATTCCTGAGCCAATTCACATTTAGAATAAATTTTACCTTTACCTTTAGACACCGGTGTATTATAACTAGGAGCGGATGCCATGACTTCAACTTCGGCCAGAGTCTTGGCATCAAAACATGTTTTAATGTGTTCCACATTTTGATTTAAACAGTGAGGCCTATACACTGTCCAAGCATTGAAACCATCCCCCGATAGTCTGGTATGTTCCTCATGTATGGTTTTTATACACGCCACATCATCCCTTAGATCATCGTCCAGTAATTTGTCACAAGGCAAATTACAAGCTTTGCCTCCATAAGCACTGTGTTCACACCAATATTTATCACTTATCTGGAAAAGTCCATGATCAGCACTGCCATCTGTGTTTAAGCGTCCTATGGCTGCAGTATTAAATTGAGATTCGTGTTCGGCGATGCACACCCACGTAGCTATATCCTGCAGTGGAAAGTTGTGTTTAGAAAAGAGTTCTTGTGCTAATGAGCAACGTGTGTAAATTTTACCCTTATGAGAAACTCCCCTATGCGCTGATGAAGATGATGTAGGAGGAGCTTTGTATATATCGTTGTATGTCGATGTAGCGTAATGTGTTTTGGATGGTTTTTGTTGTATGACATTTTTCAGGAAAGGATTATTATTATTGAAGGTATATTTTGTAGAGCTATGCACTTGATTAGTAGCTAAACCTACTGCTGTTGTGGTTTGTACTTTAGGATGTGTTATTTGTGGTGGATTCTTAAAGCACTTGGCTATTTGCTCGTAACGTTGATTCTGGCAATAGGGCCTGTAAACAGCCCAGGCATTGAAGCCATCTCCCGATATGGCTGTATGTTCATTGTGTATTCTTTTGATGCAACGTACATCATCGGTAATATCATTATCCAAAAGTTTACTACAAGACAAACCGCAACCCTTGCCACCACGATCATTAGAACACCAGTAAAGATCACTGATCTGGAAAAGGCCATGATCGGCAGAACCATCAGCATTTAAACGTCCTACGGCTGCTGTATTAAAACGGGATTCATGCTCTGCTATACACACCCAAGTGGGTATTTGTTGCATGGGCATTTTGTGTTTTTGATATAGTTCCTGGGCCAATTCACAGCGTCCATAAACCTTACCACTCTTCTTAGCCGAATAATCCTGTATGGCATTGCCCGAAAATTGTGTATTATAGGAGTTATAACCTTTAGCTGAAGTTAGATATGTTGACTGAGTACGCTCTCCGGGGAAACAATCTTGTATATAGGATTCAGCATTATTTTTACAATACTGCTGATAAGCAATCCAAGCCGTATAACCATCACCCGATATACGTTGATGTTCTTCGTAAATACGTTTAACGCAGGTAAGATCATCACTTAAATTATCATCCCTTAATTTATGGCACGGTAAATTACAACCCGCTCCTTTGCCGGGAGGAGAACACCAATATACATCACTGATTTGAAAAAGGCCATGAGAACCACCCGAGGGACTGGAGGCCTGAGCTGCTGTATTAAAACCACTCGAATGTTGAGCTATACACACCCATTGTGCCACTTCCGTTAAATCAAGACGATGCCGTTGTCTCAACACTTTTGCCAATTCGCAACGTTCGAATACTTTCGATTCCACTAAACGGCACGAGCTCACGATTAGCAATGCTAAAATGTACCGCCATTGTGTCACAGTTGACATAATTTTTTCTTCTTCTTTGTATTATTTTATTTATATGTTTCGTTTTATTGAAATTAGTTTAACACATTAACGCTGTTGTATTAATTCTAATTAATTAATTTCTATTGATTTTTTGTGTGTTTTCTTACAAAGAAACTCACGCGACGCGTTTCTTTGTTTCTTTCAAATTTGATTCTTTCTTTCTACCGCTCGTTAGTTGTGTTCAGTTTAACGTCTTCTCAGCAACTGAATGTTTTAAGAAAGTTTACTCATCTCTTGATTGCGTTTCATTTCCGTTTTATACACACCTTGCGAAACCAACACCAACAAACTCAAGTGTGTCTTTAATAATCAAACCAGAGACTCTCTCACACACGCACGCATTTAATTAGTAAATCTAAAAATTTTCAGTTTCTATAGAAGTTTTGCAGGTTTAAGCTCGCACGCCTTTTGATATTGGGCTGAATGGGTTGAAATACATAAATAAATTTGTTGTTGATACAAAACAAACACCTAAGGACAGTGTCAAAACAAAATGTTGACGACGTTTTTGTTGTTGTTTGGTTTTGTGCTGGAAACTAGTTAATCAACTGACCGCAAGTCAGTCAGTCAGTAAGTCAATCGTTCATTCATTCGTTCGTTTAATTTGAATTGTGGGTTGCCAGATCTTTAGTGTGTGTTCCCTATGACGGTAGATGAAAGATTTCAAGTGGCAAACATTTTCTAAGTGTTTAATTATAATTAAATGTCATGATTGTCATTATCAGTTTAATGATCGGTAGGTTTGTTTCAAGAATTAAGATTGCGTTTTTAATTGTAATTAAAATTATAATTTTTTTAGATGAAACGTGACTTTACCGCCCACTTTATGAAAGGTTTAAATAGCAATTAGTTTAACAAGTTTAACAAATAATATATATTATATTCTTAAGGTTTGGTGTATATAAGATCACTGATCGCGATTGAAACACCACCAACGGTCTTATCCAAGAAGAAATTGGTACACAGAGGGAAAAAGAAATATACACGCCTGGTACCAAATTGACACCAAACTGTTTATAATTTTTCTATAACATCCGTTGTCAAAGTATATACATACGTACGACAACACTATGTAATGTTGACAACATTGCAACAATTCGTTGTCGAAAATCTAAATTTTATACACATCCGTTGTCTAAATGTTAACAAACGTGGTAGGCTCACTATTGGCAACGGATTGTTTGTTAACATCTACACAACGGATGTGTATAAAATTTAGATTTCGACAACGAATTGTTGCAATGTTGACAACGTTGCGTTGTCAACATTACATAGTGTTGTCGTACATATGTATATACTTTGACAACCGATGTTATTGCCAAATTATTAACTCTTTGGTGTCAATTTGGTACCAGGCGTGTATATTTCCTTTTCCCTCTGTGTAGCATCTGCCACATCGAACAGTAGTTAAAAAACATTTTATTTTGTAAATAATTCGCCATCTTGAAATATCGTAATGAAAACTCAAATAATCCAACTTTGGAGCGGAGGTCACCTAACACAAAAAGAGTACTCCCAGAATCTCCTGCTGAACTCGATACCCTTAGAAGCTATTGCGTGGTGAACTATATTCTATTGGATACTGTATAGCGTAGATCGTTCCGTGTTATATTTTAGATTTTTTAATTAATTCATCATCAATGGCTACAGGTCATATTTAACGGTTATAAACCAACCAAAGATCGCATATCGGAACAATTGTCGGGAATTGTGAGCTATTGGCCCTAAGAAGGAGATAGCGATCAAACAGACGCATGTGAAAATCTACTCAGCTCTAAACTGGGAAACCAAATGGGCCTGGGGATCTATATTGAAAACCGGGAATGTGAAATATACTACCAGCTTCCTAATAACCTTCCAAGAAGAACTCCTTGGCTTAATGGAATGAATAGATTGGATTAAAGATGCCGCCAATAGAGGTTAACACAGAGCGATATCAGCTGAACTGTAAGATGGCTCTCTTCGAATACTTTTCCAATAGTACTCAATGTAGCTCTACATCATACGGGTACCATGTCACTCATGGATAGTCGGTAATGAAAGAGCGAATGTTACTATAAAGGGATGGTAGCTTGAAGAAGTTATCTCGACAAAAGCAAGACCTACGCATCGATGACTGGATTAAAAACATAGGGGAGAGATTCCCACACGGTTACTTGGAATAATGGAATGGAGGGTAGCACCAATACGATTCAGCAAGAGCGAGACGAACTTCTTCGTTAGAATGAAAAAGTCCGAGGTTAGCATTATTCTACGTATTCTTAGTGGATTGAGAAGTTTATAAAAATACATTTTTTCAATTTGTCGTTATATCCAGCTTTAGGTAAAGATAACTCTAAGAATAAGAAAGATATGTCAGATGTTAAGCCTTTATTTTAAAGATGACAGAATGGACTTTTAGATGGCATAACATCCCAAAAAGGGCAAAAAATTGTGTTTTTTCAAACTTCAGTACACAATATATCAAATCCCAGATGTGATAAGATTTTTTCTATCTTCTAAAAAAAAAATACTTTAGAAGTGTCTAACAGGGTCTCAGGGATATGACTTTTTTTAAATTTTGTCGGTCTGTGTTATTATTCGCAAATAATTTTTAAAACATCAATCTGGTAACTCTTCAAAATGCATTTTCGCTACCAACAGATGTTTAGTATTTAAGTACCAGCTAATTCTAAGGCTACTTAGTACAAGACCTCTCTCGAAGAATAAAGAAGATATGTCAGATGTTAAGACTTTTAAAGATGACATAATAAACTTTCAAATGGCATACAACACTTTATAAATAAAGTTGTCTTGGCTCTGTTATAACATCTCAAAAAGGGCAAAGAAGGTGTTTTTTTCAAATTTCAGGACACGATATCTCAAATCCCAGATGTGATAGAGAAAATCTGAAAGAAAATCCTTTATAAGTGTCTGACAGGTTCTTAGGGCTTTGATTTTTTTCAAATTTTGTTAGCCTGTGTTATTACATATTAGCAAATAATTTTCAAAACATCAATCTGGCAACTCTTCAAAATGCATTTTCGCTACCAACAGATGTTTAATATTTAATTACCAGCTAAGTCTAAGGCTACTTCCCAGCAAAAATTTTCATTACCTAGTAATCTAGAAAGTAATATTGCAATCACGTGGAAACTAATTACTTTTGGGGTGAATAACTAATTATTTTTGTTCGACGAGGTTCAAATAATATGTACCTACCTTAAACAAATTAATAAATGGTTACTAATTTGATTACAAAAACTTTGCGAAATAACTAGTTACAAATAAACCTACAAATATGTTATGTTATAGCTAGTTATTTTGGGCCGACTTTGTATGTAGAAAACAAAAAATAAAAAAATTCCTCTGCCGGGATTTGAACCCAGGCATTCAGTTGTTTTCTATGTTTCTCACTCCAGCCGCTTACTCGATGCTCCATTAACATGTTGCTTTTTGTAATTTTGAGAACGGCTTTTTACAAAAATATATAAATGAATGTCATTTTGAAAAAAATAAACAGTATCCAGCAGGGCTCGAACCACGAACCCCCTGTTTGTTAAATGAACGACCTAGACAACTGAGCCATAACAAATCCAAATTGTTTTGTTCTTTACCAGTAATAACCTATTCAGCTAAATGAAATAATGTGGATGATAATGAACACTCATTACCAAGTAATATATGAAAAAACTACTGGCTATTACCAAAAATTTCAGATTTTTTGCTGGGTTAGTACAAGACCTCTCTTTTTCAACTAAAACTATACTAAGTAGTATATATATAAATAATAAATCTTCTTGTTTGTTTTTCAAATGTCCACTCATTTAGTATAGTTTGTCGTTAGCGTCGTCACCATCATCATCATCTTTCTAACGTTTATGTGATTATTAATCGTTTTTTAAACCGTCATCTACTATAATTGCAAGTTTTAAACTCATGGCTTGACGGCTGGCTGGACACTTTTGTATTTTTTTCATTATTTGCTGATAAAAAATAATACTCGTGCTTGTTTATATTTATATTTTGTTTGTTTATTTTCTTTACTAGATTTTACTACTGTTTATTTATAATTTTAGGCGCAAAAATCTACAACAACTAGAAATAAATTATTATGAGTAGTTTAATGGAATGTTAAACAATTATTATTGTTGTTATTCAGATACGTAACTACTGTGAACCCTTAAGAGAACTACAAAAGGGGAAATACTTAAAGAATTTATCAGAAAAAAACTAAATATCATAAAATACAAAAAATAACGGAAATAATACACACGAGATGTTTATATCTAGTACTAATATTAAAGAGAGCATATTAAATTTATCGAAAATTTTGTAACATTTTTATATTTGATCACAAAGTTTTGAGGAAACAATCATGGAACTGGTAGTCGAAATCAAGAGCTATGAATGAATGAATTCTTCATAGTAGTTTAAATATAGATATTGTCTTTCCGTTTGTATCACATTGAAATATTGGTCTCAGACCCTGAAGATATAATTTTTTTTAGGTTCTTAATATATTCATAACATCTTTTAGTTTATCTGTCTGTTGATAATATCAAAAGGTCAGAAATATCCGCTGTTGATAAGGATTGTATGATATTGAAAATGGTAAATATTACACAGGTCAACAAATGTTTGTCCTTCAGACCAAAGAATACTTCCTTTTATATATGATCTTTATATGTATAACGAAGAAAGAATACGATATAAAAGAGGTTAAATCTCTATTTTAAAGTCGACAGATTGGACTTTCAGTGGACATAGCCAATTTTATAAATGAAGGTATCTTTGAGCTGTTAAAACGTTTAAAATATATCAAAAAACGGTGTTCTTTGAAACTACAGAAGACGATTCTCGTTCTCGAAATTTATACTCTAAAATATGACAAACATCGGGCCATATTTGACACTAATACCTCACATAAGGTCCCCCAAGACATCAAATTAACAATGAAATCGGACATAAACAAGTCTAATGATAAAAATCTATGTCCACTAAATATCATGACGATCGATTCATAATTGACCATTCCCCCATATAGAAATTCTTACAAATTGTCCATCAATCCATAGTTGACCCAAGCTACTATTCTTTTCCGAAAATCCCTTCAAATTTCTTACGACTGGAGTATTATATGATTAAACATAGTTATAGCTATAGATTTTCCTTGTTATCCAATGTAAAATGCTATTACGATGAATATTAAGTATGACCTTTGACCTTG